CCAATGGGAGGGAGCGGGGGCGAACGAACGGGCGCGGCGGAGGCCGCGTCCACAGAGGCGGTTGCATGATGGGGGGCTTCCTGATAGGCAACGGGGAATTTCCCGATCTGCGCATGCGTGCAGAATGTTGTGTCATGTGCCACTAAAAATTTCTATCTGATTTGGGATCCAGTGAGAAGATCCACTCCCATTTTTTTCTGGCACTTGTTTGCATCATTTTCGTCCCGCCAGCGAACTGCTTCCAAGGAGCCGTTCACCATCATTCGTTGCCAGAGGCATGTGCGTATCTTGTTACATATATATATATATATATATATATATATATATATATATATATATATATATATCGAATAATTCAAAAAGAATGCCAGCCTCACGTTTTCGGGAAGCCAAAACAATAAAGCGAACTAGACGATGCCCTCCATCGTCACCAGGCAAGCAACCCATCGGAGCACACCTGGCTAAGCACGCTCATTGTCAAGTAAGTGACTGACATGACTCGGCCTTTGTATGGGTCATGAGTACCATGTAAGCAATGTGGAAACCCGCACTTTTTGACTGCATAATTTTGTCATTTTCCGGCACCGGCGGGCAATTCATGACTGATAATGCTCACCAGCTTTGTTGCTGCCGTGAACGGCGGGGAGGATTGGCGGAGCAATAACGATGTGCGGTGCGGCTGGTCGCCAGCTTGCTTAGCAGTGTTCAGCACATGAACGGCGGGGAGGATTGGCGGAGCAATAACGATGTGCGGTGCGGCTGGTCGCCAGCTTGCTTAGCAGTGTGCAGCACATGAACGGCGGGGAGGATTGGCGGAAGCAATAACGATGTGCGGTGCGGCTGGTTGTCAGCTAGCCTAGCAGTGTGCAGCGCGTGATATTACAGTAATTAGCACGCGTTGGAGATGTCACGGAAGGCTTGTCGTCTCTGCCCTCCGGCGAACGCATCAGAATGGTTCACGCTTTAGGAGAAATGAACTGCGGCAAGTGGGAGCTGACTTATAGTGTTTCGGCTCAGTAGCAACTTGAAGCCGAATATTCGCATACATAATTGCACGACCAAACGCCGGTTCCACACACATGGTACAGATTCACCAAATAATAGCATCGGTGCTTCCCATCACTTTGATATCATGGCGTTATCGAGTGTAGAAGGCATGGCAACGATAATGTGGTCAGCGCCCTGATTTGGTTGGGTAGTGCCCTGCGATACTCGGTGTGCCTCTGGGGCGCCACGGTGGCAACACTCGCTGTCCGGCCGACCGGGACCGCGCAGAACATGTAGGATGGTGTTCCTCTGGGGCGCCACGGTGGCAACACTCGCTGTCCGGCCGACCGGGACCACGCAGAACATGTGGGATGCCGTCGAAGTGTGTCTGTTTTCGTTCCGCTACTCCAGCTTTGATGAGCTACGCCCTGTTAAGCCAGACTCTGGCTTCGACCAGCCAGTAGCTGCATGGAAACAGCTCAACACAAATGTTGGTACAGTTCCAGTCAGGTATCGTACCACTGTCCATGATCTACGGTACACGCGGGCGGCGCTGCATGGCCGATGTGCTGATGGTCCTCCCCTCCCCCCCCCCCCCCTAAGACGCGCGTGCTTATAATGGACTCCAACGATTATAGGACTCGAGCAAATCACGACAAAAGTTTTTACTGCTTGAGTGTCCTCTAGCGCTGCCGGACATAACCAGTGACCAACGGTGAGATAAAAAAATACGGGTTTGCTCACCAACAAAACAGCCCTCCTTGGAGGAGCACCTACCTGAAAGTACTGCTGAAACGTTTCAGCGTCACCGTCCGTAGGCGTGACGTCCACCGGCACGTGCGTCACGTCCCCCGTCACAGTCCACGTCGGCGGTCTCAGCCGGGCCGAGTCGCCAAAGTTCTGCACATAGAACACCTACGGCACCGGGCACAAACTCGCTAAGGTCAAGTAATGTGTCCCCGCAGGGGGCTTTAGCTATGGTGAAAACTGAGGGCGCATTTCAAGATATAACACATGGTCGTGCCAGACGAATGTTACATCAGCAAACAACATGCAGCGCGAACAGGACGTAGCCAAAACGAGGGTCAGGAGGGCCGTCCCCATTCTATGAGCCAAGAGGTTCACACCAGATACTGGCCGGTTTTCGCAGGAATTTGGTCCCAATTCGCGGAATTTTTGGAGAAAATGCCACATTGTCACCACTCCCCTTGAAGCAAATTTTGGCTAAGTATCGCATCATAAATAAGGTTATATATATGTATATATATATATATATATATATATATATATATATATATAAACTTAAAACAAAGCTCCATGATTGTCACCGGCGAACGTCCCAGGCAGTACCATTTATGTGGCCAGGTTCGCAACACTTCCAAAAAACCGTTATGCCTATTGTTTCTTACTGATCACGTCAAAGCGCAGAAGTTCTATCGCTCACATACCATTGGAAAGCACTTGTGACAGCATCGGTTGTTAGACAATGACTTGGCGAGACGCACAACTGATGGACTGATGCCAATGACGAATTAATACGCCACAGTCACGGCCTAAAGACCAGACACCACGGTCATCCCGCAGCCCACCGGGCTTTTTGGCCCAGATGGCGGGCGTTGTCTGCGTGCCGGGATAGATCTGTCCCATGGCAGCCAGCCAGGCGGGGCTACACGCTCCGCGTGGTGGGCCGTAGCCATACGGGCTTTTGGCCCCGATGGCGGGCGCTGTCTGGCGTGCCGGGATAGATCTGTCACATGGCAGCCAGCCAGGCGGGGCTACACGCTCGGCGTGGTGGGCCGTAGCCATGCCGGGCTTTTGGCCCCGATGGCGGGCGTTGTATGGCGTGCCGGGATAGATATGTCCACATGGCGGCCCGCCAGGCGGGGCTACACGCTCGGCGTGGTGGGCCCGCGGCCATGCCGGCCTGTTTGTGGCACAAAAAAACGCCTTTCAAAACAATCCTCTCTCGGCGAAGCACCTGAGACAAGTTAGCCCCCGACAGGGACGCAACCAAGATTTTCTGATTTTATTACGCTCGGTTACCAGACCAGAGCTCGGTTGGTACCAATCACGTTTATTTAATGCGCTGTTGGGAACCCTCTATGACAAAAAAGCAAAAAATTCGCACATAAGGGGAGGAGCCGGCCACTCCCTTGGGTGGACGCTGGCCCCTGGCCTAGCATTGCGTTACGTAGGCAGAAGCGCAGTCAAGGGGGAAGATTAAGTCCTTCTCCTTCCTTGACTGCACCTCTGGGCGCGGCGGTCTGGTCCCACCTGGACGCCGTGTATGCGGCTGGGATCAGCGGCGGCGCGGCTCCAGAGGCGCAGCTGGCTGACGACCTCCGGGTCGGCGGTGAGCACCGTCAGCTGCAGCTGGCCGCCGGCCGCCGGACCCTGGCCCTGCGGCAGCGGCGGCGGTCACCAGGCGGCTCCAGAGGCGCAGCTGGCCGCCGGCCGCCGGACCCTGGCCCTGCGGCAGCGGCGGCGGTCACCAGGCGGCCCTCAGAGGAGCAGCTGGCCGCCGGCCGCCGGACCCCTGGCCCTGCGGCCAGCGGCGGCGGTCACCAGGCGGCTCCAGAGGCGCAGCTGGCCGCCGACCCGCCGGACCCTGGCCCTGCGGCAGCGGCGGCGGTCACCAGGCGGCTCCAGAGGCGCAGCTGGCCGCCGGCCGCCGGATCCTGGCCCTGCGGCAGCGGCGGCGGTCACCAGGCGGCCTCAGAGGAGCAGCTGGCCGCCGACCGCCCGGACCCTGGCCCTGCGGCAGCGGCGGCGGTCACCAGGCGGCTCCAGAGGAGCAGCTGGCCGCCGACCGCCGGACCCTGGCCCTGCGGCAGCGGCGGCGGTCACCAGGCGGCTCCAGAGGAGCAGCTGGCCGCCGGCCGCCGGATCCTGGCCCTGCGGCCAGCGGCGGCGGTCACCAGGCGGCCTCAGAGGAGCAGCTGGCCGCCGACCGCCGGACCCTGGCCCTGCGGCAGCGGCGGCGGTCACCAGGCGGTTCCAGAGGAGCAGCTGGCCGCCAGCAAGCTCATGCTTCAGCCTTGCATGCAGGGAATCTTTTAGAAACACGGATTTCCTGTTGGAGCTGAAGGATGCGGCACTTTTGGCCAGGGCGGGGGGGGGGGGAGAGGGGGGGGGGGGGGTCGCGGAAAGAGAAGGAGAGAGAAGGGGCGTCATGGTTATCATCCTAGTGAAAATGAGCATGAGCCCCTGGTGATGCACTAACAGAATTAACCTCCGCGGGAGGCTTGGCGCTCCTATATTTGGGAACACTCTTACGCCCACCGGAAAATGCTGGGACATGTTGGATTGGAAATGCTGCCGGAATGAGTATCTTTCAATGGCAGAATGCTGAACTCGTACCAGGACGGAACCGTGGCACGTGCCACCCGGCGCGATTAGCCACCCAGCTGACACCATAGTCTGGCTGTCTGCCAACCGCACTACTGAACAGGACAGGGCAGAGGTCTGGTGACGGTCAACCCGGCCGCTCACAGGCTCGGCATGGCGACAGATGGGGTCGATGATGGGGTCGATGTACATACATACATACATACATATATATATATATATATATATATATATATATATATATATTATATATATGTATATATATATGTATATTATCTATATATATGTATATATATAAATATATAAATAAATATATATATATATATATATATATATATATATATACAGCCAAACATCATGGGCTCAACACTTGTCCAATAGTTATTGAAACATTGGGCTTTAAGGGCGTGTCCAAGTGCATTGGCTATTTGCGCCAATGCGCAACCGCCTTGTGTGAGATAGCAATGCAATTTGTGCGTGCAACGCACGTCTTTAAATGATCCAGTTTTGAATCAACGCGCTGCTAAGCCATATCGCATCCGTTATTTAATAAAGCACTTGAAGATGAATGTTTACAATACACGCCCGGCAGACAAACGTGACGCGAGCGGGGTAGGATTGGCGCCAAAGCGCATTCGTAACCTAGTCCCTGTATCAGTTTGTCACTAATATGTGAAGTCAACATTCTAGGCACTCTAAGGTGCTCTGCACGCCTTCTTTGGAATTATAAGAATCCCTTAACGTGTGTAATTTGATTTGATTCATATGCTGGTTGTAGGTTGTTGCTTCAAAAACCTGATGCGGACAATGACGGTTTTTCTTATTTTGAGCCACCCTCTGTGTTGAAGAAACAGCGGGAGAAATAATTGTCATCAACGGTAAATAATGTTTCTGAATCTTTACCTACACATTCCTCCTTCTAGGCAACTTAAGATGGTAATGCCATTGGAATTAGTTAGCAGTGTTGTGCATGTTATGATCATAGAATGTGGTAATTATCAGCATAGTTAATAAGTGATGCCATTTCATTGAGTGGCCATAGTCCCGGAGTGCCTCAGTACAGGAGCACACCAATGTGAATTGTCTTGTTTCTCATTTGTGAGTCATCTGCCAGTTTTATGAATCATGCATGCTTCCAGACAGTTCAGGACTGGCTGAGTACATAATCACCATTGGGATTTGGTTACTTACACAAGTGGCCTTTGGGCAGCCATATCTGTTTGTATCTGGATCACATCATGTAGCACCAAAACATGAATGGACCCCAGTTTTATTTAAGTTGTGACTTCAGCCACGATCCTGACGTCACAAGTGTGTTACAACAGTGCCATGCCGCCTACCTCCTGTTTGTAGTGTATGTATATGCCTTTGATGGCATATCATATGGCTTCAGGCAAGTACTCTAGTTATGATGAACTGGGCCCTGGGAAATTGCAAGTGGATGGCGTAGCATGGCAGTAGTGGGGCATACTCCAAAAGGAAAGGGACCAGGCATGAGTATCACCTGGCTGTGCAGTGCCTGGGTTTATGCTATGCTTTCCTGAAGATTGGAGGTAGTCACCCCTGCCAGCCACCCACTTGTACCATCCTCATTAGGCAATGACAAGAGCATCATTCTGTGAATTTTGTCTGTGGTGGCCATGTCTTCACATCCTTGCATCATGGACATCAAATAAAACAAAAATGTGGGACATTTTATGCCAATGATGTAGGGAGCCCAATGGCACGTTAAAACGTTGGTCCAGTCAGCTGTTTGCTCCAAATTTCACCCACATTCCCATGAACTGATATTCACTTTCATGAACAAGATATTCATATCAAATGCATAAGGAACTTAAGGTCATGTGGTGTCGGAGGGCAGGACAGACTGTAACAGATATGGCAGCACACTAAACTCTCACCACCTAATTCCACTATAGCCCAGAAATGTCATGATCAGATGGTGATGGCCAGGGCCAGGGCCAGGGCTGTGATGCAAGAATGTAATGAGTTTCCTGCACAACATCTGCTCTTATGCCAAAAGCACTGGACTAAATGTCAAAAAGGCCATGACCACTGGGTTTAGTAATTATGAGGCTTAGATAAGACCATAGCATTAGCTTATTCCCTGGAAAAACCAGGAGACTGGAGATATAGCTTAGTTGATGTCAGTGACATGCCTTTATCGAAACAAAAGCAGAAGTGTTTGTTTCAGTAAAGACATGTTGCCAAAATATCAGCCAAACTATACCTCCATTTTCCTGGTTTTTTTTCTGAGGAGTATGGCTAATACCACTGTCTCATCTATGGAATAATGTTCCTTGCTAATGCACTGAACAACTTATGTAATTATGAGGTATCTTGCACACCTGGATGTGACAATTAGAGGCTCTGCCACTGACCAGTTATGTGACTTCAAGGTGGTTAAGGCAGTTTCCTTCCATATGATGGCAGGCATAATGCTACAAATCTGGGAATACAGGAGCAGACCTACCACATCCCTTCTGTGGCATAGCCCATGGTGACAATGCTGATCATGCTACTGAGGTCCAATTTACTGTCATCCTTAACAATAAATGTGTCTCACATCGCCAAGTACCACATTTCTGACTGCTTATGTTTGGAATTCATTCTTGTGCTTGAACACATTGGCATGTGTACTGCTAAGTGACAATGCCATCCTCCAATGAAAGCAACTTATGTGATGCTTTGCTGCAACAATCCAGTGTTGAAATAGTATTGCTGCTTGAAGCTGGGGCATAGAGCCTTCCATTTTTCCACAATTATGTTCTGTTCACCATGCCTAAGATGATGGTGTGTAATGGATATTCTGAGAGCAAAGTCTTCTTCAGTAGCCAATTCTGAACTTCACTGTTTCCAAACTGGCTAGATCTTTCTGGATATTTTTTGCTATATCTTTTTTCGTTTGCAACATCATTCACATTGCCATCTTGGAAGAGACTTCAGAATGTTATGTAGGCTGACTGGTCACATGTCTGTGCGCTAAGTTCAATCACTGCATTGTAATACATAAAAACATCCTACGTTATGTGCAGCACTTGATTCATTTGCAAATAAACAGGACTGATGGCCGCTGAACTTATGCCACTCCAAACTCTCTCAGCTGCCTCCCACCACGCCTCTGGTGAACGCGCGCCAGCGGCCGCTGGGCGAGCCTCGTGCCGGCAGTATCCTGACACCTGCGCTGCCGGCAGTGTCCGCCCGTCGCCATGACCGAGACCACTGACGACTGGGTGCTGGAGTGCTCCGACGACGAGCGCTTCGCTGGCTGGACCGAGGTGGACGGCGAGCCGATGCCGCCGCTGGACGAGCTGCAGCGGCTGTACGCGCGCGTGGAGAGCGGCGACCCGCCCACGCTGGCGTGGCGCTGCCTCGGCCGGCGGCCGCTCGACGCCGACGCGCCCGACGAGGACGAGGACGAGCCTGTGCAGCTGCCAGACATGTCGGACTTCGACTTTGGCGGCGATGACGTGGCGCAGCCGGTGGAGACGCCGCGCCGGCAGCCCGGCGCCGCGCCGCGCGGCAGCGCCAAGAAGAAGTCCACCAGCTTGGATAAGATTCTGAAGAACATGAAGCGCACCCGCGAGCTGGAGGCGAAGGAAGCCAGCGAGGCGTCGGCCCGCCGACAAACAGAAGCCGGACTGAACGCGCGCCAGTCCTTCGGCGTCTGCTGCTAAAGAACTTAAGGTTAAGTTTTATACGGATTGTACACCATTGCCCATTGTGTACTATCATACGCTGGTCCTCAAGCTGCCCGACTCCGATGAAGTGTAGTGCATTGCCGCCGCGATCATCTTGTATAAACTTTCACAAGTATTGCGTATGCTAATGTTGCATAACCACATCAAATGACCTTTGTTATGGGAATCCCTCGTTCTCCACCCGCACGGCACCTCGCGTCCATTATAACAGGGTTATCACTCTCACCCTGGCATCAATCTCAATGCGATGTACTCGTTCCCAATCGCAAAGAGGTTCTCATACGCAGATACGTGACCTCGCACGCTCCGTTGGTCATGGAGTATACGACCTTGCAACCACACTTGAGCGTAACGTTACGCTGATCGAAAATCCTTCCCTTGTCGCGCTTCGGTCACGCCTCCAAATAATCCACCTCGCTTCCCCATCAAATCTCTTCCTCCCCTCGTAACCTAGTAGCGGACGGCTCCTTGACGAATTGTTGTGTTTAAGTTTGGACCGAAAACACCAATCAACAACAACAAAAAGAGTATACGACCTTGTGTGTCGTCCACCAGCATGATGTCTGCTAGCGTTACGCATGGGTTGTACAGAATAGTGCGTGCACCGGCGTATCTGGTGACGTCCAGTACATCCGCACTGGAATCGAAGCGAACATTCGCAATTCCACATGGGATAGTCTGTGACCAACTTTGCCATAAACTACGCCACGTACGCAGCAATGAGCGGGTATTCATAACACGTTGATGGTGATGCTACTGAGCTGAAACGAAAAATGCAAACTACCGCTCCGGCGATGACGTACCTGTTTCGAGCAGAGGTCGGCGAACTGCTGACAGGCGGTGTGGAGCGCCAGCTCGACCCGGCCAACCCCGTCCACAGCCGCCGCGGCATCAGTGCCTAGCTCCACCCTGCCGAGCACGAACACGGCGTGTGGTCCTCACAAGCAGGCCAGCTCGGGGTGACTCCTTGCAGGTCCAGCGCCAGCGTCTCCTACATCTGGAGGCTCCGTGTTGAGCTGCTCTCGATGCAGTGCATGTTACGGATACTGTTCGAAGAGACTGATCATGCGTGTCAGGCGCGGCGAGTAATGGATGAGTTCTTTAAGGCATCGGTAGTCCTGATATGATAATTTGATAGTCCTGATCCTGATCCTTTAGTTTCACCTTTTGACAAAGCATAGTCCCCGGCGGCTCTGACAGCTCCAGGGCCCAAGCTATTTACACCTCGTGTTACCTCCCCCAAAGTAAGTTGACTTCTGGCTTCAATGGAGTGATTCCTGGGCTTGCGGTGAGGGCCAGGGTGTTCCAATATTGCTCGCAACGACTGAGCAACTGATAATCGTTACGCAGATTTAACTTTGACTTGGTTTAACATATTCATGACTCGGCCATAAGTATGTCTGGGGCACACATAACAGTAAGAAAAACGAAGTTATGCAGTCATTACTTATTCCACCTCCCAGCTTTAAAATTGATGGAATTGATTGTTTCTGATCGCATAATATTGCACGCACGTGTTCACATATATGCGACATGATAGGTTAGTTTCACTCTTCGACAGTATGCTTATAGCTCCGACGCAGGCATAATTTCATTGGAACGTACCACTGACTTAGGTTCGCTCCTATATCGGGATTGGTAACAAATATCGGGATTGATACCTCTCGGTGGTTTGCTTGCCTGAGCTCACACGCAGGACAGCGTGGATCGTACATCAGCGAAACATCGCACAGTTTGGCTCAACAACAAACGTCGCACAGTCATCGCACATTTTAGCTCGCGATTGTCATTTGCGTTCCCCAGCGTCAAATCGGGACTGTTTGCATGCTGGCATGTGTGTAGGTATCCTGCGTGCATGATTGCTGTACTTTGTACCTGTACTGCTCCAACCTTAAGTTACGAAGTTCTGAGGCCAGCGGGGTCTAAATCCACGGACGCAGTCGCCAAACATGAGATCCGGTCAGACGCGGAATTGGCTCCGGGGCTCCATCGGCCATGGCCATTCTGGACTCGGGACTTTTTGAGGCGATCCATTTTACGAATGGGTCTGACTTAAACGTGGGCTCATCGATTAAAGTGGAAGTGCACATATACTTCACCCAAACATACTCTATTTTTGAATCAGACATTGACTGACGGTGCTGCCAACCTGAAACTTAAGTTGATAATCCGACCGTGATAGGTCATGGCTCAACTCCGAACAAACGTCCATAAGCGGGTAAAAAAACATTGGCTCACCGGCTTCGAATAGTGGCAACTCACAGATCAATCGAACTCGTATGCCTACCTGCGGTTCGTATTCACAACGTTCAACGGTTCCGATGTTTATGTGTTTGGATCCCAAAGTCTTTCCCAAACTTTGGAGGAGGCTTTCCGCTCATGGTGTTCCATGATTTCCAACACAAAACGGTTGAACTACCTAACATGAAAAATGCGGTCATAGCAGGGAAAATATGTCCGCTGGCGCATGCACTTCTTTGATGCATCTGACTAGTCAGCATCATGGACTGGACGATTGTGACTAGTCCTTCAGTGTTCAGTGTCTGCCGCAGCAAACAAAGGCGACGATACCATCATGCGAGCGCGGAAATTTAAGAACTTTTGAAAGCAGTGCCTGGGCTGCTTTGATGCGCTGCGGCAGGAAGAAATGCATGGGAGGGGGCTTGCAATGAAAACCTGCGAAGAGGATGAACAGCTGGTTGTCGTCGAGACAGGAAGCAGACAAGTGCCGGGAGGCAAATTACCAAACAATATAATCTGGTGGAATCAAGACATGCCACAGTAACCCACAGCAGGTGAGTGGTTGCCCTCCAGCTGCGGCGGTTGTCGGAAAGGAGGTCGATGCTCCATATCTCCGACACCGAACCCTTGAAAGGGCGATGTTGCGGGAGCTGCCCACATTTACAACACAAATTTCTGTACAACATAATTTGGGAACAACGGGAAACATCAGAGTTACTTCCGGCACAAGGGCGCGAACGGCCTTGACGGCTTTTTGCTTCCGAAATGATAACATGCTTGCGCACCTAACAGACTGACGCCGCTGCAGCGAACCGTGCAGCAAACGCTCAACACCAGCGGGGTGGAAATACTGGTCCTTGGGCCAGAATACTGGGCAGTCATTCTTTCACAAGTAAGTAACAGTTCCCAACGTTTCATATCCGCCAAGTGGAAAAAGCACCAGCAGAGAAGCGCAGACTGCAGTCGGTTTAGACCATGAGACAACAGGCAGCAAAGTTACAAGCCAACTGGCGCAGGGTCACCGTTGACGAAACACCGCAGCTGCAGCTGCCTGCCGGTAGTCACAGTGGGTCGGCGGCCTGCAGTGGACCGAGCCGAGGACTGACCGTGTCCTGTCCACGAGCTGCGCGACCGCGCTCCACAGCTGGTCCAGCCGGCCGCGAGGCTCCTGCAGCGCGCAGCAGACGGCCGGCGAGCGGCCCAGCGCCAGCAAGGCCAGCGCCGGCACGCGCGCCGCGCCGCGCACCGACGCCGCTAGCGTCACCGAGCGCAGCAGGCTCTGGTGGCAAGCGGAGAGCAGCGGTGAGAGCTGGCTGTGTCATCTGGTGCGCGCGTGTACGAAATGGGCGAGAAACGTGAGCGAATTGGCATAGGAAAGGGGTGAACAGATGGCCTGCCGATACAAATGCATGTTTCCCAGCATCGAATATAAGAGACACCAGTACGTCTTTGTTGTAACAAGTGACGCATCACTCCATGTCAGGCATTCCAAAAGTTGCATGAACATGTCATGGTTTACAAGTGTGATCGTCCGGGTGGGTTAGGGTCAAGCGCGGCCGGATCATCTCGAGGCAGGCGGTAAACACAGTCGGACCGAGACCACCTCGTGGCCACGTGTTCAGTTCCCACCCACGTCTTCGTAGTTCCTAAAAGGCGTCACATTTCGAAGGCAGGACGAGTCCGTTTCTAACGGCAAAGGTGTCACGGTTCAGCGCGCGGTCATTGCGCGGTAAAAATCCCTCAATGCCTTTCGAAAGACATGCTGGGAGTTAATCATGACAAGAGGGCTACTGATGTCTAGTGAACTTTACGTTGTGTGACGTATTTTCGAACCGTATACCGCATTCATCACACATTGTAATATTCTATACACATCCAGCTTGAATTATGTCACAAACCGTCGCCCTCCCCCCCCCCCCCCCTAGCTGGTTGTGAGGCTGGTATGCACTAACAAAGGTTGGGTGCGCCTAGTTAGTTTTCGGGTTATCGTGCGTCTGGTTGCATGCATGAACGCCATATCAGCTGGAACCGTTGCCAGTCGCATGCCTACCCACATATCCAATCCAACAAAAACGAGCTGCAATATGCGACATCTCTGACAGGTTAGTATCTACCTACGACTGGCTAGTCTACCAAACCACGCATCCGATCTCACCTCCGTAAAAGTCTGCACTACTTTGACAGTCAGTGAGACAGTGTCAACCACCACACTTTGGCATCTTTGGTCTTGGAACGGCAGTCTGGCTGTTGAGCTCTGCATAATCGCTGGAAAAGAATGTTGAGATACTAGGCTTTAATAAGGCGCATTAGGTACTGATGCGCCTGCGCTGCGGCATGGACGCAAGACCTCACCACCTGACAAGGAAGCGCCTAGTTAAGCACCCACCCTGTGTACTTCCTTCCGTTAGTTATCGTGCCCACCTAGTCAGGCTGAAGTCTATGATACAATGCCACACAAGGACGATTCCGCCAAGGGACATGCCCCAAATCGCATCCGCGCAGCCCCTCACCAACACCGCTCCGCGTCCAAGCCCTCGCCCTGCGGTGCTTGGAACTTCTGCTTCTCAGTATTCAATGTATGGGTGACGCCATGATAATATCTAGAACTATCTGTGGGGTCTACGCAGCTTTCTGCGTCAAAATATATGTTAGAAATTCCCTCCCGATGAAGCTAAATTCGATACAATGTAATTTCACTCTGCTCGTGAGTTTACGAAAAATAACATAGTGTAATT